CTGTAATCGAATAATTAATTGATAAGTTCATAAAGAATCCGTAGTTAATCGAATAATCGCGTAAAATAATTTTACAGTCTTAGTGAATAGTCAATTTTCTCATATTTTATGTTTACGCGCATTCACATAGGTATTATGACTTTGTTTGAATTTTAGTATAAAATATTGTATTGTTTTAATCTTGAATCACTACACCAAAGTTGAGTTTTTGTGGCAATTATTTTATCTTTTAGGGGTCATATAAATGATCATTATTATTTTTACCAGCAATTATATAATGGCTGGTATATCCAAAGTCGCTAATTCTATTACCGGCAATTATATTCGATTAACTACGGATTCTTTATGAACTTATCAATTAATTATTCGATTACAGTTATTACTTTGAAATCTTGTACCAATAATTTGATATGAATTGATAGTGTAAAATATGGATGCATGGTTATCAGAGTAATACCAAAGATTCTGAATCATATTGAAGGAAAATATCCTCCCAAATGTTTGGAGGAAAATCTGCCCGAGGTCGTGCGATGTCAGGTACTTCAATCTGGGTGGAAGCTGCAAGTGCCATCTTAATTACTACCTTTCAACAGGTTTCTTCTAAGGAAAAAGGCTTTGTTTTGTATGCGATTTTGTATATAACCAAAATACTATTATTCACTATAAGTACAGCAGTATAACAAGGGACTCGAAAAAAAAAGGAGGAAAAGAGAAACACAAATGCATTTTCCAACTTCTACAATATTTAAGAGCCTCATCATTATAAGAAAGGTTTATCCAATGAAGTAATCCTCCAACATTTGCCTATCAAACAAAGTCTTTGCCGCTAGTTTTCGAGCATCTTCATCATTATTTTTCCTAAGAAGCTTTAGCAAGGAAGTGATGTCACCATCTTTAGTCATACTCTTTTGATTTGTCTCTGCTTATTAAAAAAGACAGAACTCATTATTAAATATAACAATAATCATGTATACATTTATCAACTTTTCATTTACAAAAACAACTTAGGATATTGTCTTTTAATGAGTAATACCTATTGGCTGAATTCCATCATCAACACAATCTATATTTTTCTTCTCTTCACAGGTTCTAGGGTCCACATTCTTAAAAATTTACACAAACATATAGTGTTAATAACATAACCTTAAATATAAAATTTTCAAAGGAGAATAAAGTGAAAGAACCTTGAAAAGCTTTCCAAATCTTGCACACTTTGGAATGGTTTGTATATTATTTTGAAGAGTGTTGATTTTCCCATAAGATTTGCATGCCTCGTCCAAAATCAACTTGTATATCTTATGCTTGCTTAATTACTTATTAATTTAATTGCAATTCACTCGTGACCCAATCAACATATGTGTCCAAGCATGTATTTATAGTCCCAACAAAACACTTATTTGGCACAAAATCGCATACAAAACAAAGCCTTTTTCCTTAGAAGAAACCTGTTGAAAGGTAGTAATTAAGATGGCACTTGCAGCTTCCACCCAGATTGAAGTACCTGACATCGCACGACCTCGGGCAGATTTTCCTCCAAACATTTGGGAGGATATTTTCCTTCAATATGATTCAGAATCTTTGGTATTACTCTGATAACCATGCATCCATATTTTACACTATCAATTCATATCAAATTATTGGTACAAGATTTCAAAGTAATAACTGTAATCGAATAATTAATTGATAAGTTCATAAAGAATCCGTAGTTAATCGAATAATCGCGTAAAATAATTTTACAGTCTTAGTGAATAGTCAATTTTCTCATATTTTATGTTTACGCGCATTCACATAGGTATTATGACTTTGTTTGAATTTTAGTATAAAATATTGTATTGTTTTAATACTACCAAGAATATTTCCAATGGAAGATTTACTGCCCCATAGTTGAGAAGGTGTTGGACCAAGTCCTAAGCAACGAACACATTCACCAACTATCCAAACACAAGCTGCTTAATCACCAAGTGGCTCCGCTCTGGGAGCGTAACCACGGACACCGAGGCCACCATAGCCAATGCCGCCACCGCGTTGGTGAAGTTGCGCGGCCCTATCAGGTGCAGGCTCAGTAGGGACAGGATCATGACCTGGACGTTGGAAAATAGCACATGCCAGCATCCCCTTAGGGTTTGGGCGAGCATTGCATCGGACACTATGAGGAGCGCCCACTCCCTTATGGCGGTGCCGCCCACAGTGGAGGGAACCAGACCCAACTTGCCTGCCACGCGTCGCCGCACCAGAGTGTTGGGCTTCAGAGACAAAGAGGTAGGCGACGATGACGAAGGGAATGGAGAGGAGGAGGATGAGGTTGTAGAGGAGGCTATCGGCCTCGACGGCGACGAGCATGAAGTAGGAAAGGGGATGGCGTTGATTTCTGGAAGAGATGAAGTAGGGGAAGAGATGAAGTAGGGGAAGAGATGGTGTTGGAGCACCACAACATTTTGGAGAGCCCCTCTGAGACTGTTTGTGGATTTGGAACACTAACAATTAGGGTTTTCGTGAGTGTCGTGCAAATTTGCCTTCACTTCTACATCGGTTCTCCACAAAATCGATGTAAATATGCTTACATCTTCTATTTATTTACAAAATTGCCACCACATTTCTTATTTACATTGTTTCTATTGGAACCGATATAAATATAGCGATGTTAAATAGTATTTTTCTAGTAGTGTACTCAGAATCATATAAGGAATGCAACAAAATAGTCAAAAAGTAAAATAGAAAATGTTCATAAGGTGCTTGTTTCCATAAGCATACATTAGGCAAAGGATTAAGGGTCAATATGACTACCCAACATATATTCTCGCACCCTCAAGTGAGGTCTCTCACTCCCCCTTACCTTGATGAGTAGAAGTACGGTTCCCCAGTGACCTCCTCCTCATGCTTCTCTTGAGTCTTCAGAGCACAACGCGTAGAAAAAGAAGAAAGTGAGAAACGTGAAAATAACTCTCGGCAACCTCCTTTCCTAAAAATAATAAAAATAAATAATAATAATAATAATAATAATAATAACAATAATAATAATATTTAGCAAAAGATCATTACGTCCCTCCTTTTATTCTCACAAAATAATAAAAATAATTAAACATATCTCCTCCTTTTAATAAATAACATAAATATAATTCTTAATAAAAATATATTTTCATAAAAATAGTCTTATAAAAAATAATCTAAATATTAATTAAAAATATATCTATTCCCGGCCCGTAGTATAATTCACCATGCATTAGATCTATCAATTACAAAGTACTAGATAATTCCCCGAAATCCAAGATTTACCTAAGTTATGTGTCATAAAAAATGTAGAAAGTGGTGTTCTGCATCCATTATTGGCACCTCGTCTAAATTAACCCTTTTAGCATAAAATAAATAAATCACGACAAAACAAAATATTATTTAAAACAAAGTTAAGATCACCAAATCATAACTTAATTATATGCCTCTTTTAAAATTATAGGATCAATAAAATGTCATCTGTAAATTAATTTACGTAATAAAAAAATATATCATACAAATTATTTTAAATATATTTAGAATTATATACTATCTCAAACTCGTGTCCCTTTTAAAATAGACAAGAATTCACAGAGCCTAATTCACTCCTTAATTTAAATTAAATTTAATTATATTTTTATCTCTTAAGTATATAATAATTATACGATTTTAATCTTACAAATTTTAATTAAATAATTTTAGTTTTTTTAAATATTGTAATTGTAAATTTTGGTCCCTCAATTTTTAATTGAAAAATTTTAATTGTTAAAGTATCAAAATTAAATGATTTTAGTCTTTCAAACATTATTATCATATAAATTATTTTTACCTATTTAAGTTACTGGTATTAATATATATATATATATATATATATATATATATATATATATCATTTAATATAATAAATGAAAAATATAATATATGTAATTTAAATAAGTTAAAAATTATATAAAAAATTATACAATCGTGATAGGAATTAAAATGTATAATTAAGATTTTAAATTAAGAGACAAAATATAATAATTGTGTGTTCGGCCGCGTGCTTATCATATCCGATCCAAATTTTCATTAAAAAAATCGCAAGTCCGGAAGAGATGACACAAAACCAAGTGCGTGCTGAATGAAAGTTGAAAAAGATAACATGTATTATATATACAAATAAGAAAAGAAAAGAAAAGAATTAATATACATGATAAATAAAAGACAAAACATGCACATAAAAACATGAATGAAAAATAAAATATTTTATTTTTTATTGTTTACTTTATTTTATTATAGTAGTATATTTTATTATTATTATGCTATCTCTATCTATATGATAGGAAACCAAATAATTAGGGTTTTTTTTTTGGCCAAACAATATTTTTATTTTTTAGTTTTATTATAGTAGCATATTTTAGTTTTATTATGTGTTTTTTTTATTAAGCAAGCCGCATTAAAATTATATGTTTAAAACTACAACATTAACTAATAATACTTGTCATATTTCTAGTAATAAGCATTATTAGTGTTATTTTTAAGATCTTAATTTCAAAAGAATTTTTTAACCTCAATTAAATTTATTAGATCGGGAAATAGGTGATCAAGCAAAACATGTAACCTCCCACTTTTTCAAATAGATTAATAAAAGATTATTTAATTAATTAATTTAGGAATAAAATATTCTAAGTAATTTTTTAAATTCAAATATGTGAGGTTAATTAGTTGGACATTTTACTAATAGGTCACATGTAACATCCTATTTTATAAAATAATAATATTATTAAAATATTGTTACATTATGGTCAAAATTAATATTTATTTTTACATGTGGAAAACAATTTTATTATATTAATTTATTTAATTTAATGGGATAAGGGGAAATGGGCTAGGTTGACTCGGTTTAGTGAATTTTTAGGAGATGGGTTACGCAAAATTATCCTGACTTGTCTCATTTGACATTTTTAGAAGGGCTGAGAGGGAAGAGGAAGAAGTACTCAAATAAGGAGAAGTACTCATATAGTCTCAAACTGCATCAAATTGTTCAGATCATCACGTACAATAAGGTATGGGGAGGGAAATGAGCTAATATTCATGTGTGGGATTACAATAGAGGATGGGTAACAGGAGCAATCCCTAGATTTCTAAGATTTCCCAATTTTTGTTCTGATGTTGTAACCCACGATTCAATTAGGCTTTGTATTGGTTTAGGGTTGTGTTTCTTGTATTGTTTGTTAAAATTGATGATCTAAATGATAACTGAATTCACTGAAATGTCTCTATGGGTTAAGGTTTTTGAGTGATCTGATTATTGTTAATTGGTATGTAAATTCTTGAATTAAGACTATATAATGTGTTCTTGGGTAAAAATAAGTGTTTTTGACCAAATGGATTGATAAAATGATGTTTGTATATATGTTTGATTATAAATGTTGGTGATGGTTTGTCAATGCTAAGTTTCTGGAAAATGCATGCGTTGGGCGCTAGGCTTGAGTCCTTGGCATCGGGCTTGCATTCATACTGATGAATGTGAAGCCCAGATAGGGTTACATCAGGCGTGGGACGTATCACGCCAGACATGAATATGTTGTGTGCTCTAATTGGTTCATTAGCGCCAGGTGCAACATGAAAGAGTTATGTGCTCTCTATGCATGGTTCATTAGCGTTCAACGTAATTATAATTAGGTCGGGCATGAAAATTTTATGTGCTCTTTGTTGTGACTTAGAGTCGAACGCGGCCTAATGAAGCCCAAAGTAGGCTATGAATATGTTATATATATATTGATGACTTTTGATGATGGTTGTGAAGGGTATAATGTCTACTAGTAGGGGCAGATCCACGTTTTGGACTGTGGGGGCACTTACCCCCACTACTATTTGACACATACATAATTTTTTATTTTAAAAAATAAAAATATATTATAATAAAATAAATATATATTTAAATTATCATATGTATAAAATATAAATTCGGAGAAAATGTTTATTTATTTGATTTTATCAAATTTTTAAAGGAGATTAATTATTTTATGTGATAAAGAATATTCTTTAATAATGAATCAATTTTTTTTAAAAAAAGTTTAATTATAATATATATATATATAAATTAATTTTTGATAAAATAAAATTTGCAGTATATATGTTTACCTTTTGTGCTTTCTATTTATTGTATACGTTGATTAAAAAATTAAAATAAGAAAAATTGAAAGATTTATGTTCCATTTGGAATTTTTATTATAAAATATATTTTAAAATAAATTATCATCTAAAAATATATATTATATATTAAAAACATGTTTATATCATAAATAAATTAAACTTGATTTTTATAAAATTTAACATATTTATTTTTATATTTTTAATAGTATTAAATTATTATAAAGTATGTCTTTAGGATTATAGTTCTACCCAAACATTTAAAAAAATTGTCTATGATAGATAAATAAGTCATACTTAGGATAGATAAATAAGTCATACTTAGGATATATATTTTTAAAGAAAGTTAGGTTCAAACCTACTAAATTATAATAAAATCTAGTCAGACCTAATTTATTTTCATATATAATTATAATCGTAGATATAAAAGCTTGTAAAAAAATAGTTATCATATATATTTATGCCTTTAAAAGTTATACATAAAATTTTTAATACTACAAATATATAAATAAATATTTCCTCCACTATCTAAAATTTCTGGATCTGTCACTATCTACTGGTGACTATTGGAAGAATGATGTGCATTTAGATGTGTTGATGTACAAATGTGAGTGGATGTTGCTTGATATTTAATTGTGCATTGGCATGGATGGAGATGATGAATGGATGAGGTGACATGACATGAGCATTTGTGCACGTTGCATACACATTCTCCCTTGCCATAAGTGGTGATTAGCAGGGTGAATTTTATACACCGATCATAAGTGGTAATTAACAATGTGACACAGATCATAAGTGATGTAAACGATGTGATTAGGCGTGGCGGTGCCTGAGGAGATTGATGAGTCACAAAGCATGATGTGATATGAATTATAAGTGATAAGTGATTGTGTGTGGTAACTGTATTGAGTCTTGAATGTCATGCATCATTGACATTTGTGTTTTGTCATGGGTACGATGCGATATACACCGCTAGAGAAGGTATCCTTGTGTAAATACTTGGGGATTATTCTTTGGCATAGCTTGGTTTGGGAAGTCTCAATCTTGCTCATTGTGTGCATGAGACGTATCTTACACAGCTCAACTATCCCGATAAGATCCTAGTAGTATATCTTTCTAGTGAGACTGTTGTGAGTGATGACTTGGTCTGACATGACATCTACTCCTAGACTAGTCAACTTTTGGGCAAAGAAAAGTATTTTTATTGACGCCACATGCATATAGTTCAGGAATGTCTAGTCTATGTATGATTATAACATTTAGCTCGTTTTTGAACTATATTTTGATTAATGTCATGATGGAATGAGATATAAATTGAGTTAAAATTATTGTATGGATTAATGGGAAATTAAATTATTGATTTTATATAATATTTGTGTGTGGCTACCCAGCCTTATTCTATACCGATAGTTAGAGTGAGATATGTTTTCACTCCTTTATTTTCCTAATGGATGTTTTATATGTGATTGCAAGAGGCTTCATTTGGAGGAATCTAGTTGATTAAAGGGATAGCTCTAATACATGTGATATCGAAGGATCTTGGATTATGTTTTATGCTTTCTATTTTAAGAATTATAGTTTACTTTTCTTAAAACATATATTCTTTAAGTTTGTAATAGTTAGGCATTGATTTAATTTTTTTTGAATTTCAAATGTGATACTCTTTATCTTTGTTTGAAGTTATTCCATTTTCATATTCCCTTTTATGATCATTATGTTTATTTAATTAAACATGTGAGGTAGAAGATATCACAAAACAAGTATTAAGAATAAAAGAAAAATAATTAACTAAATAAAAATATTTATTGAATAAAAATAGGAAGTGTTACATAAAGTAAAGTCTACTACGTTAATCTCAACAACGAGCCCTTTATTCTCTCAAATCACTTTAAAATATACAATATGTAAAAAAAATTATTTTTTACAAACTCTATTTTTATAAGATTTTAAACAGGCTTTCCCTAATTGGACTTTTGATGTCCACTTGCTCAAAGCTACTAATTGGCTTACTTAAGCGAACTCTTCATGGTGTTTTAGCAATATCTTCTAAATTAGCTCATTCACAAAACCCAAATGGCTCACTTTGAGTGAGCATAAAGTCACTCAAAATTTGCTTTCCTCTCACCCTAAGCAAATACTTTCAATGTTCAACTCCTTTACTATTAGCTCCTTCCTCCTAATTGTATTTCAAAACTAAAAAAAAACAATCAAAAACAACTAAAACTAAAATGATTCTACTAATTAATAAGATAAAATTAAAATACTAATATTTAACAAAATATTTTACAAATAATTATCTAAATTGAATAAAAGATATTCTCATATCTTTCGGTGATGACAACCCAAAAGCAAAAACTGTTTGATTATATCCAAATTCACTAATTACATTCTTAATTAGGGTTTATTTTTCCTAAAATCTGAAGCTGCAGGAGCGTAATAAGCCCCATTTCGAGACTAGCAATCCTTCCTTGTGCTATATGGAGGTTAACTTGTTTTATCTTAATTTTAATAAAATTATCTTTTCTTAAAATAAAAAAAAAAGAATAAAAACTTAACTATGCCGAATCGACCCAGATACGTTCACTACATACTAATTAAAACAAGACAGCATCGCTTATAATAAACGAATGAAAAAATAAATAAAAGAAAAAAATGGGAACTAAAAGGGTGTGCCTCATACATTAACAAATTAAAAGATGGGATAACGTACTGCATGTTGGGTTGAAACAAATTAATGTTACAGCTGGAAGACATTTTTGGGTTATACAAAGTACTTTTTATGAAAAATATTGCGTAGTTTATTGATGAAACACCGAAACATCTATATATCTAGATTTTTGAAGGGGACCACATGTTAACGTTTTTACTCTTAAAGCACAAAGATCATAACACATTTATAATATGTGAAATATATGGCTTCTCCTAGCGGTGTTGATTGATGCACATAGGATCCACAAGCAGTGAAGAGACGTATTCTTTCAGCAATTCCCCATTTGTGAACCTATCTTGGTGGTTTTCATATGAAACCTCACACATTCGGGTCAAATTAAGAATAAAATCAAGCACCGGTTCTGGGATATCATTTAAATTGAGATACTCTTTATTTATAACCTTCCAACAATCTTCAACATCCTTGTGAATAAGTTTATAGGCGTCTGCTTGTGAAATGTCATATTGCTTCATGCAACATTCAACAGCTGAGGCAACATGTACTCTTTGTTGCTCAAACTATATATCAAAGAAATTTCAAAAGTTTAATTAGGAACATAATAATTATATCTATCTATATCAATATCTATATCTATATCTATATCTATATCTATATATATATATATATATATA